AAGTGCCAAACTGCTGCTGTGTCCTTAGGCAAGACACTTCACCCCCATTGCCTAGAATGAGTCTGGTGTGTGTGTGAATGGTTGGTGGTGGTGGGAGGGGCCGATGGCACATACTGGTTGCCTCGCTTCTGTCAGTGTGCCCCAGGGCAGCTGTGGCTACAGTAGTAGTTTATCACCACCGTGTTTGGAGTGAATGAATAATGACACATGTGAAGCGTCTTTGAGTGTCCAGAAAAGCGCTGTATAAAACCAATGCGTTATTATTATTATTATACATTTTTGATCAATTATTTCTTGTGAAGCTTGTTTGACGGCTGTGAACTAGGACCACATCCTTTTTATTAGTAGAGCTATTGTTCACTTAACGTGTGCCGTGTGCTCCTCTTTCCTACTGTTCTATAACTTGTGATGCAACACTGACATTTCCCCTCTGTGGGACAAATAAAGATCTCTTAATCTTAATTTTCTGCCATGAATCACTTTTGATGGTTATTTTATCGCCGTTTTTCAACATCTATCAATCCATCCATCTCTGCATTTGATAACTCTTTATATTGAGGTTATTCTGACAATTCACAATTAATATTTTAAAGGGGTCAAAACAACAGGTCCAAGCGCTGGACCCAGGACCCCAGACAATCAAAACACAATGCATCACAACACAATGCATTATTCACATAAAGATATTGGTAACACTTTATGGCACGGCCCTTACACACACAGACAACTCAAAGTGCACATAACAACGCACATAATTTTACAAGACCAACTTTAGAAAGGAAAGAACAGCCCTCGTTGCTTGTTACACAACTTGTCACGGCCATTTTGCAAAATATTGTCCCTTGTGTGTGTAGTTTTGTGTCTTCCACATGTAAGCAGCAGTCTATTCAACAGATATATACATTTTCATTTTTTTCAAATCTGTAGACTACTATTTCCCCTATCTTCACACGAATGTAAGTTTGACAAGGGGTTGGGTAAAGCGGACGGTTATTTCATCCCAACCGCCGTATTCATTGGAATTTATTTTTGTCTAAATTACAGGTTTATTTGGTGACACTGAACACACCTCCACGACAATCATTTTCAACCAGAGGCGTCACAATGCAAGATTCAACACAAATTTAACCTTTTTTGACGGACACACCACCGAAACCTTGACATATCTCTGACTTTTCTCAGTCCCATGAAACAAATACAAAAAATATTCATGACAAAATAATAATTTACCGTTATCGCAACCCTAATGAGTCTATATTTAGTAATTGTTTTCTTTCACCAGCCGCTCAACCCCAACGCACTGTCGTAGAATTGCATCTCATCCATCTAAAATCACCGCATCTTATGGATTCATACAAGCAAATTAGCGTTCGGCAGCGAGCAGAGAAGAAAGGCTAAATTATCCCGGAAAGACCAGATTAGCGTGAGTTAGCGCCACATTAAAGTAAGCTAAATTAAGCGGAAAAATTAATTATGTCTTGAGCTTTTAGGGATCAGCTGCCAAACATATAAAATGTACATGAAGAGCATCAGCGGCGCTCTGTGAAGCCGGAATCAGGAATAATTTATGGAAATGAGGAGAATGTGCAAAGAAACAACACTTTAAAAAATGTTATGTGTTTAGTATTTCACCTTGAAACTTTTGAATTCTTCTTGGTAAAAAAACGTCTTATTGTCCTGTACATTCCTGGGCTGCCTGACATTGAGTTGATTCTTGAGATCTGCAAAAGCGGCTCAATTATGTTCGAAGATAGAAATATTTCATATACAGTTATTTTCACTGCAAAAAGTCACAAAAAATGCTCAAATTTGGCAAAATGGGTCTTAATTTGAGCACATTCTGACAAAGCCTTAAAGGAGCAGTGTGTAAACATGTGGCCAAAAGTGGTACTGCAGCCTCTCCCACTCTCCCTGACTCAGGTTGCCAGATATGCAGACGAATCCAGCTGGGACCATAACAGCTGAATAGACAAGAGTTTTGTCAACAACAAATCTATAACCAACACCTTTTTCACAAAGATAGAAATCCTGGTTTTATTCCTTGTTTTGTCGTTAATGATTTGAGAATCATAACGAGACCTATTTTAGTTCTGCGCCACATGGTACTTTACCAGTGAGATTAGCTCCACGCGGTGAGTTCTGGCGCCCGGATCACAGACTTTCTGATTGGTGAAACGGTGGAGGGCGGGACATCAAAATAAAATAATAACAAAATTTAGGGGCTGGAAAAGTAATTTAGAAATTCAAATATCTCTGAACTACTGTTATCAGTTAAAGAAGTATTGGACAAAAGCAGTTTATTATTATGACAGATTAGGGCCCTTTAATGACGATAGATTAGGTCCCTTTAATGATGACAGATTAGGGCCCCTTAAGGATGACAGATTAGGGCCCTTTAATGATGACAGATTAGGGCCCTTTAATGATGACAGATTAGGGCCCTTTAAGGATGACAGATTAGGGCCCTTTAATGATGACAGAAATCGGGCCCTTTAATGATGACAGATTAGGGCCCTTTAATGATGATTTGACATGACAATCTTACATATTGCCACTTTAAAGAAATATCTTTCTTGAGAAAATAAAGCAACAGTTCTTGAAAAAAGACTAAAGGGCTTTGTCCCATTGAAGTATTTTATTTGAATACTCTCAGAATATATTACCTCTTATTATATGTCTTGACCGTACGCGCACTCTGATTGGCTGATTACCGGTCTGATATTTTCCCATCTTGGACCGTTACCATGAAAATTGGTCCGAACAGCGCGTATCACATTTGATATCTTTCCTCGGACCGTTACCATGACAATCTGTCCATAGCCCGTATCACACAAAACCAAGTTGGACATGAACATACTTCACAAATATCTCAAAAGCATTGGTAAAGACACAGACAAGAGTCATATAATAAACATTTATTAACCTCGCTTGCTCGGTCTGTGCAGAGAAATATCAGACCTTGGATATTTCTCCGTACAGACCTCGCGCTCGGTTAATAAGCCGTTAATATAATAGTCTGCAGTGTTCTGAATGCTTTAGGCCACACAGATAAGTATACAGTATTTTGTAAAACCAGAGCTAATGATACAAAACACATTCCGCTGATTCTCTCCCGCCGCTTAACCCTTTACGTCTCAGTGATCGCCAAAGTGCAGCCTTGGAACAAACCTGGCAAAGCTAATGGTACCGTAACTAAACCAGCGTCGGCACTGTTCGTATCGCTGCAGTAATAGTCCGTGCACCGAGGTTAAAAGCTCTGCACGTTGTCAACACATCAGAGAGGAGAAGGTCACTGTTGCCCACGGCGACACCAGCCATGCCGTAGTCGTCCAGTGGCACTTTGCTAGTTACTGGTAATACTGGGTTGAATTGCAGACTGTCTGTAAGTGTAAAACTCTACTTCAACAACATTATGGTCATCTGCCAAATATGTGCCTTATTTGTGTCTGAACTGATTCTCTGATCTGTGTTGGCGAATTCAAAGGTTATCTTTTGTCGTCTGAGATAATTACTGTTGTGATTTAGGGCGATACAAGAAAAACACTGAATTGAAATTGACTCCAAACGTTGAGAGAATTTGACTCTGGAAATGTCTGTTTAGTGGATTTTATTTTATTTTAATTAGTGTAGTTATTGTTCATTGATCTTGTGCTGTAGGCTCCTCATTTCTACCGTTCTGGACCTGGTGATGCAACATTGGAATTTCCCCGCTGTGGGACAAGTAAAGGATCTCTTCATCTCATCTCAAACTGAAAAATGAATGTGAGATTTATGCTTCTCTAAAGAGCCATCAACTCTTTCATGTCTGAGATATTCTGAAAGAAGAACCAAAACTTCTCATTCATAGACTTCATGCATCGATCTGTTCATTTTCTTCCCCTGAATCTGGAGCCGGGTCACATCGGCAGCCGTCTGAGCAGAGAAGCCACGATTTCTCTCTCAACCCCCCCTGGACCGAGACGAGCCAACTGAGATTGAGTCCTTCCAGCTCCTCCCTGTAGTCTGCACGTCTGGAACACCACTCAGGAGGAAACTAGTTTCCTAGAGAGGAGAAATATATAATATAAAATAAAACATACTTTATCATATGTTTTATTTTATATGATACATTTTTCCTCTCGAAGTGGAAAAGCAGCAGCTCTATTCAGAGCTCTTTAGAGAAGAGCCTGGGCTATTCGGTCATTACCCAAAAGTAATAACCATACAGAATGTTATGGCCTATTAAGCAGAAGAAATATATACCATCAATATTTGTTGTTAAAATCTGCTAAACAAAACTGGACAAAATAATACGAAATCAGACAAATATCAATTTATACTATCAACACAAGGAGAGCCTGCATGTTCATGGTTCACCTCTGGTCTGGTACCATGTGCCTACGTGGAAACTCCCATCTGCCACAGGATATTTATTATTCAACAAAACAGACCCACATCATGGTTACATTGTCACTTCAAAGATTTCATATGTCCTAAACCAGGGGGCGGCAAATCAAAAGGTTCAAAGAGCCATATTTGACACACAAAAAAGAAATCTGTCTGGAGCCACACAAAAACCAGCCTTGTACACGGCGTGTAAGAAGGAAACACAGGCTGTGGGTGTATTATCTGTATTAGCTACTATCTAAATGTCTCAACAACAACATCACCCACTGACTTCTTGACCATTTAAACGTTCTCCTTTGGCTCAGTGACCTCAGAGACATGTTTCATTCTTTGTTCAGGCCTTTTTTACATTCCTTTTTCTCAAATGTGTTTTTACAAATGCACACATGTTTGATACAATACAACAAACCAAGCTTATCAGTAATTATCTCTGCTGATTGTCACTTCCATTAACTGCAACTAAATCACCCACGGTTCACAAAAATCTGATCCTTCATTAAAAATCCATAACGTTGAAACCCAAACTATTCCCAAATTAATATAATTTGCGATGGCGTCTGATCAACAATTGCTTTATCTTCTCTGGCAGAGACTCGAATGTTGCCCGACGCCAGATGGATGCTTTGGCCCCGGTTGGGACTCTGGATGGTAAAAAAAAGTCCAAATGTTTGGTTTTCTTCGGTGGTGGTGGGGGGACTCAGCGGGGGGGCGAGCAGCGCTGTGTCCACAAAGCAAACGCATTTGTCTGCTTGAAAGAGCGCCACGGATTTAGTATTTGCCGAGATGTGTTCTGGCTCAGTTTCATTGACTTTTCGATCAGGAGGGAGTTTATTTTTTCACATTAGCATTCATCAGAGAATACGGGACTTCTTGCTTCTTTGGAGAATTCTTATAAAAGTGAATTGTGTGAGGAATCTGGTCTCTATTAGTAAATGTCTAATGTCTGCCTTGTCTTTGTCATTAATATTATTATTATTTTGTTATCTGGAGTGTCTTTCACTGCCTCTGCTGTTGCTCTTTCTGAAGCTAACATCCATAAACGGTGCTAACATCTGTGGCAGCTCGGTGGTTGTGGATGAGAAAGCTCGTCAGCGTCTCTACTTTCTGCGTAAACTTAGAGAATTTACCACTAACTCTAAGATTGTGCTTAACTTTTATGGCTGCACCATTGAGAGTTTACTTGTTGGTTCTGTGTCTGTGTGGTTTGGAAACATCACAGATAAAGAAAAGAGAGCTTTAAACAAGGTGCTCCGCTCTGCAAAGAGGACCGTGGGCTGTGAGCTTCCTGTTCTGGAGGTTCTTTATAAATCCAGACTTTTAAACAAAGCTCTTAGGATTGTTAATGACTCTTCTGGCCACCCTCGGAAAGCCATGTTCCAGCTTCTTCCCTCTGGCAGAAGATATCGCTCTCTGAGATGCAGGACATCTCGTTACGCTAACAGTTTTTATCCACAGGCTGTTATCAGTGTGAACAGAGCACTTTAATGATTTGCACTTGTTTTGAAACTGTTTTAGTCGATCGATTTCACAGTGACATTTGTTTACTGTTTTATTTGTTTTATTTCTGTCTTTTAATGTTGTTTTATGTCTGTATTTTTCTGTGCACACTGGAGACTTTTGCTAATGTATTCCAATGTGGTGTTTTTACTGCAAATGGCAAATAAACTGAACTGAATCTGAATTTGAGGTTCTTTATCCTCATGCACGATGCTATAGCCACACATTCTTCTTGTCAAAAACGCCTTCGGGGCTGTACATTCCTGGGCTTCCTTTCGTGACCTGTACATTTGATATATTTAAAAAAGAAAAAAAATGTTTTGCACAAGACTAGTACTCCTAGAATATTGTAAAATGCTTTGTGCTTTTGACTTTTGTCCATGAAAATCACTGTCTAAATGAACTTACCTACACAAACTACACATCAGGCATGTCCAAACTCAGGCCCGGGGTCAATTGCGGCCCTCAGCGTTATTTTATTTTAACCTAATGTAGTCTTTGAGATCATAAACACAAGCTCACTGTGTCATCCATCCAACTTCAGCTCAGCCATTATAGACCTGGTGTAACTCGTTCTAAAGCCCATACATCGAATTCCGGTGTTGACTGTATTTAAACTTTACTGACTGTGGTTTTTGGTTGTATCGCTTTCGTTAACGATGCTAATGTAGCTGGTGAGATGGTAAACATTTGTCATTCAGCCAACTTCAGCTCTGTTATAGATCACCATAAAGCTCAGAACAGCCTGATGCCAGTCAAGACAGTTTTTCAGTCTGTGACGTCGGCCCCTGGACTAGTCTGGGGAACTAACGTGGCCCTTTTACTAAAATGTTTGGACACCCCTGCTATTCAGATTCAGATTTAGATTCAGACTACTTTATTAATCACCACCAGGGGCAATTCATTTGAGCAGCACATACAAAAATAATGTACTGACCAAACATGGGGAGGCAGTATTTCAGATATGATGCATCCAACATCTAGAAACATCTTCCTGAATATGTGAGACAGGCTTCTTCTCTGCCAATGTTAGAGTTCAGGTTGAAATGAGTTCCGTTTAGCTGCGCTGAGGAAACGTACTGTGGTTATTTAAGACGTTTTCTCAGTGGCTCAGTTGGTGGAGTATTGTCTTTTGAGCCTGAAGGTTGTCGGTTCGAGCCCACCACAAGACTTCCACCACCGACTCCCACTGATGTCTGCTGTGGCTGTGTCCTTAGGCAAGACACTTCCCCACATTAGAATGAGTCTGGTGTGTGTGTGTGTGTGTGAATGGCACAGACTGGTTGCCTCGCTTCTGTCAGTGTGCCCCAGGGCAGCTGTGGCTACAGTAGTAGTTTATATCACCACTGTGTTTGGACAGAATGAATAGGGACATGTGAAGGGTCTTTGTGTGTCCAATACAGCGCTGTATAAACCCGATGCATTATTGAACTGATTGGGATTTTCTTAAGAACAGTTTCACATTTCTATCTGGAAATGGAAAAGGCTAAAGATGGGACAGAGGCCTAAAAAACTAGAACTATAGTCTCATGCATTCTCTGACCAACTTGTGTGTGTTCTGAAAGTGATGTGCCCTAGCTTTAAACCCCAGACACCACAAAATGACTCAAACTAGACGCAGTAATCCAATCCTTTCTCTCTCTGCAGCTGCACACAGACCTGGACAAAGGAGACAGCGAGGTGAAATACACTCTGTCGGGGGAAGGCGCTGGCACCATCTTCACCATCGACCAGACCACGGGGGACATCCACGCTCTGCGGCGGCTGGACCGGGAGGAGAGGCCCTACTACACGCTCCGAGCCCAGGCCGTGGACCTCAAGGATAACCGTCCCCTGGAGCCCGAGTCCGAGTTCGTCATCAAAGTCCAGGACATCAACGACAACGAGCCCAAGTTCCTGGAAGGACCGTACACCGCCAGCGTGCCGGAGATGTCGCCCGTGGGTAGGTCGAATGCACATACCGTACGCACCTGTAGATTAGCCACACTTTTGAGAATAAGTCAGTTTTGTGCATGTACAGGCCACACTTGAATATAAAGAAAGTAAGTACCGACAGGGCAAAGCCGAGCGGTCCCTTACTTAATATCCCTTCTGCCTTCTCCTTTTGAGCTCTATACAGCACAAACACGTATTGCCCTGAGCTCAAATAAACAATCTGAAATGAACTGCTTAACTGTTACTCACCCGTCTGTTTAGAAATGATGTCCTGCTATCAAAAGTTTACGGACTCTTGTTAGAGCGGCGTTTATAGACGTTATATTTTGACTCCAACTCCAACATGATAAGAATACACATCTTAGCCTGTTACGATATAATCAAAAAACACAAAAAAGTAGGTTCTTATAGTCTGGAAATTACGATGAATGATACTTGTGAATGAAGGCATCTGATTGGTCGATCCTTATGACGCATATCTGGATTAACAAGGACAATTTTAACACCAGGATCACAGGCAGCGCTAAACAACACACTATTGTTGCGCCCAAAATGATGAGTGTGACACAATTAGCTTACTAAGAAAAAGGAATTCACTTTGCAATGTAAGTCAATAGGAGCAAAACTTCATCCATGAGCACTTCCCCATTGTCCATCTATATACAGTCTATGGTTACACCTATGCACACTGCCTTTCTTGATGCATTGCGGTAAACTTGTACTTCTTTCCTGTTGGAAGCACTACACTACACAATGTAATGATTTTTCACGGCAGCTTGGATTTCAAAAGCTTGAGTGAAAACATGTGAATGACAGTTTAGTCGGATCGGTAAATAAATAGTTCTGCACAGAAAGCATAGCACAGTCAATAAAGGTAAGCAAAAGGACGCATTGATTCACTCAGCTCCATTCACAGCTGCAGCATCAGGAGGAGTCGACACCGAGACGTGAGCGTTTGGCCTCATGGTGTCACCGCTTTAAAGTAGCAATATGTAAGATATTCATGTCAAATCATCATTAAAGGGCCACAATCTGTCAAAAGCCATTAATAAAACCTGATCTTTTCCAATACTTCTTTAACTGATAACAGTAGTTCAGAGATATTTGAATTTCTAAATTACTTTTCCAGCCCCTAAATCTTGTTATTGTTTTCATTTCGATGTCCCGCCCTCCACCGTTTCACCAATCAGAAAGTCTGTGATCCGGGCGCCAGAACTCACCATGTCAAGCTAATCTCACTGGTAAAGTACCATGTGGCGCAGAACTAAAAAAGGTCTCGTTATGATTCTCAAATCATTAACGACAAAACAAGGAATAAAACCAGGATTTCTATCTTTGTGAAAAAGGTGTTGGTTATAGATTTGTTGTTGACAAAACTCTTGTCTATTCAGCTGTTATGGTCCCAGCTGGATTCGTCTGCATATCTGGCAACCTGAGTCAGGGAGAGTGGGAGAGGCTGCAGTACCACTTTTGGCCACATGTTTACATACTGCTTTTTTTTACTTCCTGAAACAGCCACTTGTGCAAAAAGGAAGTGCATTCAAATGTTTAGATCACATAAAGTTAGTGCCTTTTAGGTTCTTTGAGCTGAGGAAGTGTTGGATGGGGAAGTCTGCCCCTGCCACCCGGCAACAGTTGAAGCGGATGGATTTTTAGATTCTTTTAGATTCTCGTTTCTATGTAAGAGACTGTAGCAACTGATTCAAACATACCCATGACCTTAGGAAGTCATTTTTTCAGGAGGTGGAATGTAGAAGGTGCAAAAGCAATTGGAACTTGAGTTAACACCGTTCAAAAGTCGTATGGTTTGAGTCTACGTTTTCTCCTTCTTCTTCATCCGTCGGAGCTGTCACCTTCTATCTCTGAATATGGGACAGAGAATAACTTGTCAGGTTCATTCTACACTGCCTCTGATTGAACTGAGCTAGCTTATTATTATAGTTATTAGCAGACAATATGCTTTACAATTCACAGACACCGTGTGATTTTTACAGTGTTTCTTTGATAAATGCAGTTGATCTAATCTCCAACTCTCCAGCATTACTACAGTATGTGGAGTTTTGCATGTTCTTCCTGTGCTTGCTCCGCTTTCCCTTGCCACTCAAAGCAAGTACAATAGGTTCTGTGTGAGTTATGAGTAAAGAGCTTTGTGGTTCTCAGTCTGTGAAAGAGGACATATATATAAAGATTCGAGCATTTGCACTTCACGGTAACTGCTAATTTACACATGAGGCGTTACAGCACGTACGCGTTATACGCGCAGCAGACGCGCGTTACTTTTTTCCATGTTAACCTATGATGATATTTACACTTCTATTGTTATACGTGTGTATGACGGACGTATGACGCGAAGCTGCGCTCTAATTTAGGATGGATTTCTAATTTTGTGCGCGCACCAATGCGTCTCCTATTGAAATCTCATGTAAAACGTTATTTTTCTAGCGGCCCTTGGCTCTAGATCACATCTGCACACACACACACACACACACACACACACACACACACACACACACACACACACACACACACACACACACACACACACAGCACTTGTGTCTAAACATCAGCAGGAGGAGCAGCAGGTTTTACAGTGATTCTGGACATCGTTTTTTTTCATTCATAAAGTCTCGCGTCTGGCCAAACCAGCGCACAGAGACCATGAAGACAAACACATGCATGTGATTTGTGTTGCTCTACATCAGTCCTCTGGCCCGTACTGTCCTCTACACTGCTCCATAGACACACACAGGGAGAGCATCAGAAGCCTCAGACCTGTGCACGGCCTGTGTAGATACTCCAAAAAAATGTTACGCGCAGAGAGCGCGCAGTAAACGCATACGCGCTGTTTACGCCTACTGTGTAAATTCCCCGTAAGAAGGTCCCGGGTTCGATTCCACCTCCAGGGCTGTTCTATGTGGAGTTTGCATGTTCTCCCTGTGTCCGCGTAGGTTTCCTCCAGGTGCTCCGGTTTCCCATACCAATAAAATCATGTACAACAGGTGAGGGTTGAATGAGTGTGTGTTTGTGAGTGCGACTCAGGAACTACAGATGGAAATTATAAAACTCCTGCTGTTTATTTGTACACACTTTGCCGTTCATATAATCAAATTGATTTAACTGCTCAGCTAATGGTGTGTTGAACTGGTCTTGCCATACCAATGTTCTAATTTTATACAATTTAACAGGTGGGAGGGGTTAACTCCTTTTACTCTGAGTTTACAGTGACGTATGTAAAGTGAGTGAGGTAGTAAGCATTTAGCCTAGCTTTAGCCTTTAGCCATCACCTTTCCACTAACGGAGCCCGTGGGGAGTAGAGCCACAACATCTTTGCTTCAATGACATTTACTAAACATTCTTCTTGCTCCGGCTTCAGTTTCTTGATATTTGGATTGAACCAGAACAGATTATTTTACTATCACATTCACAGACAAACTACAACCAGCAAATTCAGCACAAACTCTGACGTCACCGACACCGACCTACAACACCCGCCTCCCCCGCTCTCTGATTGGTCGGAGAGGATTCAACCGAGGAAACTGCAGCCACTAGGATCAGACCCAGACGTACATGTAGGAAATGATCATGGACCAGAGTTTACACATGGTAAGACCAGACGTACATGTAGGAAATGATCATGGACCAGAGTTTACACATGGTAAGACCAGACGTACATGTAGGAAATGACCATGGACCAGAGTTTACACATGGTAAGACCAGACGTACATGTAGGAAATGATCATGGACCAGAGTTTACACATGGTAAGACCAGACGTACATGTAGGAGATGATCATGGACCAGAGTTTACACATGGTAAGACCAGACGTACATGTAGGAAATGACCATGGACCAGAGTTTACACATGGTAAGACCAGACGTACATGTAGGAGATGATCATGGACCAGAGTTTACACATGGTAAGACCAGACGTACATGTAGGAAATGATCATGGACCAGAGTTTACACATGGTAAGACCAGACGTACATGTAGGAAATGATCATGGACCAGAGTTTACACATGGTAAGACCAGACGTACATGTAGGAAATGATCATGGACCAGAGTTTACACATGGTAAGACCAGACGTACATGTAGGAAATGATCATGGACCAGAGTTTACACATGGTAAGACCAGACGTACATGTAGGAAATGATCATGGACCAGAGTTTACACATGGTAAGACCAGACGTACATGTAGGAAATGACCATGGACCAGAGTTTACACATGGTAAGACCAGACCAGTAGTATTTGTCAGGAGCAGGATTCAAACTTCCAAATTTCTGCTCCGAGGACACACCACTAAGTGAAGTTTTAGCGATAAAACATAGAACCGTCGGCCAATATTGCAAATATAATAGTGTGTTTCTATCTAACATTACAGAAACTAAAAACAAAACAGAGGATATTGGTGAATAACAAGAGTATCTTCATTGACTGGAAAAGCATTAAATACGCTCTAAAAGGTTGTCTCTGTAAGGGCTATTTTTCCAATTTAAGAGTGTATTCTCAATCTGCTTCTTTGAGTCCGATTCCACCGTGGAAGACTGTCCGGTGTTACGGCAGCTTGAATACAGCACATTTACCGTAAATGAATCCAAATCCACTGTGCTCTCTCTCTCGTCTGGGGGATTGTGCTGGTTTGAATTCAGCCGCTGGTTTGGACTTTGAGCAGAGGAATCATCCAGGTCCATCCAAGAGCGCGCCCGTTCTGCCCCACGGCTCCTGACATTTCACACAGTCTTTTTTCCTCTTTCACAGCCCTGTCTTTTACCCACAATCCTCTGCTTTCACCCGCCCCCCGTCCCGCCCTATAGGCACCGGCATCAAGGTCATGGAATCCTCAGCCTCAAACCCAAAATCAAGTGCGGCTGGAAATGACCCCTTATGGCTGGGGGTCGGACACACACATTTGGCTAAAAGTGGAAGTTTTTTAAAAAAGTCCAAAAAGAAACTTGCTTTGGGCTTGTTTGAAATACTTTGGGGGAAATCTTTTTGACTGGTCACAGC